CAAAAAGAGTGAAACCAATACAATAAGATCACACTATAAGCACAGCTATAAGCAAAAAAAATATAAAAAGTCTTGGTCCGGCGTGAGAATTGAACCACGGACCTTCCGCTCACGAAGCAATAGCCTCAGCCACGGAGCCACAGGTGCTCTTGCAAAATGCCTATCGCCAGGCATTACTTTCCGCCGACATTAACGACGTCATATTATATATTAACGGCATTTTAGTAGGCTACCGTTTAACGGCTGTTTAAGTACATCGATTAATCATTTATTGTAATGGTGATGATAAATCAAAGCAAGTATTTCCATTAACATACAAACTGGATAAAATTTTCTCACATTTATGTCAGCACGAGAAAAAACAATATGGCGATATTATTATATAACTTGGTATTATTTGAGGGGTAATTTCATCTCGTTGGAATTTGACTTTCGAAAAATCCGTTTTCGAAAAATAAGCTTTTTCAAGCAGTCAAGCAATTTAAGCAGAATCGTGGTTAAGAAATTACCCAACTTTTTGGAACACCCTGTATGATTTTTTAAAAAAATTTAAAATATGTAAAACAAACAAATAAATTATGCTTGTCCAAGCGTTTTCCCGAAAGACTTACCGTTTTTTAAATAACAAAATTAGTAATATTTGAAGGGCGTTTTCACCCTCTTGGAATTTAAGATTCGAGGAACCCCTCCTTAAGGAACCTCTACACCCCACAGTCAATCCGTTTGCCAAAAATCAGCTTTAAACGTCAAGCAGTTTAAGCAGAATCGTGATTACTCAATAGTCATATTTTATGAAACACCCTGTATAAATTTAAAAATAAAAAATCTTAATATATGTAAAACAACAAAATAAAATATACGTGTTTAAGAGTTTTTCCGAAAAACTCACCGGTTTTTAAATAAAAAAATATTTTAATATTTGAGGGATAGTTTCACCCCCTTAGAAGTCGAGTTTCGAAAAATCCCTTCTTATCGAACCTCTACACTCTAAAATCAATCTGTTTTCCAAAAATCAGCTTTTTATGACAAGCGCTTTAAGCAAGATCGTGATTAATCAATGACCAGATTTTTCGAAACACCCTGTATACATTTTTAAAAAAATTTAAAATATGTAAACAAGACAATATAAAATATACGTGTTTAAGCGTTTTTTCGGAAACTTGACCGTTTTTTAAATAAAAAATATTGTAATATTTGAGGGGTGTTTTCACCCTCTTGGAACTGGAATTTCGAAAAATCCCTTCTTATCGAAACTCTATACCCTAGAATCAACCTGTATGCCAAAATTGAGCTGCTTACGTTGAGTGATTTGAGCAGGATCGTGATTAATCAGTATGTCAGTCACTTAAGGATTTTATATATTAGTATAGATTTCAATTAAATAAACCTAGCAATTTTTTATTAGAGTATTTAAAAACAACAAATTTGTTTGACCTCTCGATTTCAAATTAAAAATTTTAATTACTCATATTTCAAAAATATATAACAGCTAATGGTGCCAAAATATTAAATAACCTTTTATTTAGTCTATTTCGTTTTAAACGTTTAATTAATTACTATATACAGGGTGTTCCTTACTGACATGCCAATATATTTAAGGGGGTGATTCTTTAACCTGTTCTAAAAAAAACTTCCTATGACTGTATGTCCTAAACATCTTAACTTTTCAGATACAGGGTGGTAAAAGTTTCCATTTTTTTTCAAAATATCTCTGATGTTATATCTGATACACGTCTACCATGCGTCAAAATCTACATATATAAAATGCTAATGTTTATCTGTGTCGTCTCTACTGACTACGTAACTAAGTACTCTCTACTGACTAAATAACGACTTATTGCTCTAGAAAGTTGATTTTTTTACTAAAAGATAGCTAATTGGCTCTTCTAAAAACTGTCGTCGCCGGATTTTTTGTTTTTCATTTAATCAAGAGATAAAAATTGTTTAGAACGAATCGAGATTTTGAAAATAATTTTTCTTTTAAGAGATGTCAGTGGTGTACCATTTTTTTCTTTAAAAATATTCAATATAGAACATGTATATGGACGGCACTGGTTGAAATTCAACCCCGGATCCAAGGGGGGGCAAACCGGGCACCTGCCCCGGGCGCCAGTGTCAGGGGGCGCCAAAATCATAATATAGTATCACAGAATATCTAGCTACGCAAATAATATGGTTGAAAATAAAAAAAAATACTCCACAAAGCGCCTAGTATGCACCTTACGTTCTTCTATCAAGTATTCATTTTATTTTAAAACGCCTAGTTAGTTTTTAAACACATTCTAAAGTTTCATTTAGAACCTCGCAATTAGTGTAATAAATTAGCGGTTTCAATAATTACACTTTTTAGTTTACGATCGTTCACAATGTTTAAAAAACACAATTAAAATTAATAGAATATCCTAGCAACAGCTTGCGGTAGTCAGATGTATCCATAAAGAAAGCCAAATATTTAGCTTATAAAACAATAAACTTTTGATTTCTAACCACGATTTCTCTTGACGGATGCTAATCAATGGCCAAAATGACATTTCCCGCAAAATTTGAAGTATATTTAGTGGAAAACTTAAAAGTTTGTTTACTTTTTCTACTAATTGAAAATGACTACCAATAATTTAGACGTTCTGAATGCTTACATTGAAATTAAAGGAACAAACTTCTACGCTAATTGAAACCACTAAGTTATTCCACTAATTCGGAGGTTCTGAATGAAGCTTAAGAGCTAATTCTGCCCCGTTTACGAAAAATGCTTACCTATATCTAGATATTTGTAAGTTTTTTAAATTAATTTATTGCAAACGCTGGTGAGAGGGGGCGCTACAATCAATTTTTTGCCCCGGTTCAAAAAAATTGTAGATCCGGGGCTGTTGAAATTAATAAGGAATACCCTGTATAGTATATTTATTTTAATTGGTAGATATACTTATTATCATAATATATTATTTACTTATCATATAGACAAAATAATTGACTTTTAAAAGGCTTAAATAACAAGTTTTCGCAATACCTTGATTGAAAATATGGGATATACTCGTATTATGCGTTCTCTACGTTAGTATAAAAATATATGGATTCGATCAAATATATGGTTAATTATTTTTATTCTTTTTAATATACTCACTTGATATTAGCATACAAAACACAATATAGCTGGTGTGAATAATATCAATGAATGCTAAAAATTCAGTGGCCAAAGTTATTTGCTTATAATGGGTGAACCAGCAAAAGATCACATATCAACTTTTTTTGAAAAACGGTCTACAATATATTAATAAGTAGATTTGGGGTATACATATACCTAGATGCCACTAGTAAACTGAGATTTGTAGACTGAATACTTATTATAGCCTTATTTGCAATTAATAATGGAGAGATAGACCAAACCGAAAATCTACATAAATACAGAGGGGGCGCACCTCATTCGCTTCGGTTATACGAAAACGGAAAGATGTAGAAACAAAATATTTTATGGATATGTGTGGGAAGGCAATGTGCGTAATTTAAAATTGTTTTGAAATGTACAGGGTGTGTCAGAACTAAGATCCATTCCAAAGTTATATTTTTTTCTTATGGAACACTCGGTATTTTATTTCATTTTTGGATTCTTTGGCATAAAATAAGACTTTTATTATAAGGGTTTAATATGTCTAATATCTTTGGTTTTTGAGATATTCAAAGATATTTAAATATGCATGCTATAATATAAAAGTTTGTCAACACCTAGTACATTACTTTTCAGA